GAACAAAGGAAAAAATTTGGTGATAACTTTATCAGAGGTAATCACAGTTAACTTTAAAAATGGATCTAATAAAAAATTTTAACCTGCCTTGTCCACCTTGTAACATTGTGAACATCTCTCTTTCTTTTTAAAATATATTATTGATTTCAGAGAGGAAGGGAGAGGAAGAGAAACATCAATGATGAGAGAGAATCATTGATCGGCTGCCTCCTGCACATCTCTCACTGGGGATCGAGCCCGAAACCCAGGCATGTGCCCCCGACCGGAATCGAACCCAGGACCCCTTAGTCTGCAAGCCGACGCTCTATCCACTGAGCCAAACCAGCTAGGGCTTGTGAATATCTCTTGAAAGCAATATTTTTCTTTATCACTTTTAACAGTTACAAAGAATTTCTCTGTAAAGATGAATTATTTTTCCCAGACTCTATTTATGGATAATTAGTTTATTAAATCTAATCTGAATTAGATTATTTCAGGTTTGTGTGGTGGGCTTTTTTTTTTTTTTTTTTTTTTTTTGCTACCATAAACAACATGGAGGAATATGTTCACTGCAAAATCTTTATGAACATCCATGATTACTTCCTTGGGTACATTCTTATAAGTGGAATTCTGGATCAAAGAATGTGTATGTTTTAAAGCTCCTATTGCCAGATTACCTTCTAATTTACACTCCTATTGGCAGGGCATCAATAATATTTTTCTCCATGTTCTTGCCAACATCTGGAATATTCTTACCAACCTTTTTTCTGTGGTAGTCAGTTTTATAGATGGAAAGTTATCTCATTATTTTAGTTTATATTTTTATGACCACTAGTAAGATTTACCTTTTTCCCCCCAAAGTTTTTTGGTAAATTGCATTCTTTTAGTATTTGCCTATTTTCTTTGTTTTAAAAGTAGTAATTTTTCCTAAAAATGTATTAGAAAAAACATATGGAGATTTTCTATGGATAATTCTGTGTCAAATCATGAGTTCTTTAACATATAATCTTTATACAAACAATTTAAGAAACAAACAAGTTTAAACCCCTTCTCTAAATTCTATCTCTTTCATTCCCCCTAAGATAATTACTAGTATATTGTCAACTTTCAGTTTAAAGATTTTTTTTTTGTTTTCTTTAGAGAGAGAGGTAGGGAGAAACAGAAGGGGAGGGAGAGGGAAAAGAGAGAGAGACAGAGAGAAAGATATCAATGAGAGGGAAACATTGACCGGCTGCCTCCTGCATGCCCCCTACTGGAGGTCAAGCAGGGAACCCAGGCATGTGCCCTGACCAGGAATCAAACCAGCTACCTTTCTGTGCATGGGACAATGCTCAATCAACTGAGCCACACTGGCCAGGGCTCGTGTGGACTTTTAAGTGTAAGTGCACATATGCAATTAAATATTATTTATTTTTAGGTAGCTTTCACTTTTTTGTTGCTATTGAGAGTCTATATTTTTGAACTTAACTTTATTTTCTTGGTTTTAAAAAAGTAGTTCTATCATCTACAAATAATGGTATTTCTTTGCTTGCATTTAGGTATTCTAATTTCTTGTAACAGCTACACTTCTAAACAATCATAAACAAAGTGGTATACAGGACAATGTGGGAATGCCTTGTACAATCAAATATGGTTTTGGCTATTCACTTGAAATGGGTTTTTAATAATCATGTCAAGAAAATATTGTTTCTAGTTTGTTTTTTAGATTTTTAAAAAAGAGAAAGGATTTGGCTTTTAAAACACATTAAAGATTAAAAGCCCCCACACATAAGACATATACTTACAATAATAGATGCTCATCAGGAACTGTAAAAACAGGGATGGAAAGAAAGTTAATCATATTAAACCAGTGACCACAAACATAAAAGTGAGCTTATGGATCTAATTTTACTCCTTCCCAATATTCCACTAAACAATAACAAGACTTTTCTAAAAGCATAAAATAAAAAAATAAAATAAAATGCATAAACTCTCTAGGATAATGACAGGGAGAAACAATATCTAAGAAAGAAAAAGAACTTTTTCAGACATGTAAAACTTCAAAAAGTACATTTCATGTACCTTTCCTTCAAGAAGTTGCTACAGTCAGTATCTATACTAATAAAAGGGTAATATGCTAATTAGACTGGACAAAGCCACACTGGTGGGGCCGAGGCAGAGGGGGTTAGGGGCGATCAGGCCAGCAGGGGAGAGCAATTAGGGGCAATCAGGCAGGCAGGGAGGCAAGTGGTTAGGGGAGATCAGGCAGACAGGCAGGCGAGTGGTTAGGAGCCAGCGGTCCTGGATTGCGAGAGGGATGTCCGACTGCCGGTTTAGGCCCAGCAGTAGGACATCCCCTGAGGGTTCTGGATTGGAAAGGGTGCAGGCTGGGCTGAGGGACTCCCCCAACCCCTGCACAAATTTAGTGCACCGGACATCTAGTGGGTGCTATAAAATGAAGCAGCAGACTAAGAAAACAAAAATTGTAGGAACTTAAGGTTCACCATCAGTAATGGGAATCCCGAGATAAGAATGGTGGAGGGAGCTCTGGAGAGAGCCTGGAGAGCAGCCGGTCCACAGGAAAATGAAGCTGATAAAACATCTTGGTCGTCTCAACACCTAGCGGACAGGTTTAGAGCACTGATGATGAGCTTGAGGTTGAGTGAGGGATAAACATACAGAAAACTAAAGAAGCCAATGTACACACAACAGCTGCAACTCCAGGAAAATAAGAAGTTACACAGGAAAGGAAAAGTAATCGTAGCTTCCTACATGGCTCGGCAGTGCCTAGTTTCACATCATATAAATGCTCTGAGAAGTATTACCACGGAAAGGGGGTGGTCAGGGAGAGTATGACTGTCTAGCGCAGCTTTTTAAACAGCAGACAGTTCTGCTGAAAATGACCAGACCTCCATGGCGGCCTGCAAACTGGCCTCAGCGCAGCGCCAAGGCCCTGGGACAGAGTGCACTCCCGGCGACCTCCGAGTTGACACCAGGCTGACTTTCTACCTACCCTTTTTGGGACTGGAAGGCGTTTGAATTCCTGGCTGGCCTAATCTTTTAAGATATATATTGCATTAGTTTTAACTGAAATGAGAAAAAAGACTGGCTTTGCTCTTCTCAATTCTTAAAAAGCAGTAACTCCAGATAAGCCCTTTAAAAGTGCAGTCCTTTTAACACAAGTGCCAGCCAAGCGAGTAAGCAGCGGCAGTTCTGAGGCCTCATCTGCTATTTCCTCAATGGCCATGTGTGCACTGGCGGAGTGGCTCCCCCCAGTAGGTGCGTTTGTTCAGAGCGGAAGCTGAGCGTGGTCAGAGCGCCCCCTGCTGGCCCGCGGGGAAAAGGTGCCTGCACAATATTCAGGTTTCTCCAGTCACTGCCTGTGCATTTGGGTTTTGTGGCCCTAAAATACTTATTTGCTGAATAAAGTATGTGAAAGGATTAAAGTTAACAGATTTTGAGAAAAAAGAGTGTCGGCACGTTTAATAAGTTAAGCTTTTACCTTC